CTCTCCAGTTAACAGTTCACTTTTGAAAAAACTTTTGCTGATAATTTACTCACCCCCGTGTCATCCAAGATGTCCATGTCTTTCTTTCCTCAGTCGAAAAGAAATTAAGGTTTTTGATGAAAACATTCCAGGATTTTCTCCATATAATGGACTTCATTGGGAACCAAACGGTTCAAGGTCCAAATGAGAGTTTCAGTGCAGCTTCAAAGGGCTTTAAACGATTCCAGACGATGAATTCGTTTTTTTTGTTAAATAAGAGGCGATCTGAAGTGTGTTTTTGAAATCAAGTGACCGAAGTGCTTGTTGCCCCTGCGATCAGTGGTGCCGTTACAGTGTTCTGTTGTGACGCACACAGTCTTCACACGGACACGTGCTTCAATCCCTTGAGGAGAGACTCTCTATATTTATTACGAGGAAATCACAAAACCTAATGCACAAAAAACCGTGTCCCTGCTTGAAATACAACCACTAATAAACAGTTTTGATGAGGAAAATAAACTGTCCTACTCATGCGGATTAGAACCCAGAACCTCTGACACACTTGGCAAAAGTTCTGCCTCTGGACCATTAAAGTTCATGGGGATATTTATCGGATCTATGTATTTAATCACGGGAAAATTCTCACCTCTAACAACATATATTAGATCTCATTAAACGACAAATTAAACACAATGTACAATTGCATACTATGTAACGCCACGCTCTGCGCGAGTGGTATTTACGACAGTGACGTTAAATACAAGTATTCCACAGCGACTCTAGGGGTCACTGTTCGACAAAAACGGGATTCCTGCATAGTGTGCCTTTAAAATATATAGTGATTATTTTTAATGTACTTTGATATTTTCTTAGATTTGTGTATTTTGAATGAGAACAGGGCTCAAAAGGATATTCACCTTGAGGCACACGGCCCCTCATTCAGTGCACTTGTGTCAGTAGAAACGTTGAAGTTCTTCACTGTAACTTTAGGGCAGGGTAGAGAGTCTCTCTCAAGAAGTCCTGAGATATGGAAATGTAATGGAAATGGAAATGTAATTCATGCCCAAAAATCATTCTAATAAAACCCTGTTTGCTATTAATACAGTAGTTGAACTTGTTCTCTGTTACTTCATAAATCCTACCTTGCATGGAGAAGAGAATTATGAGGTCCCCACCCTTGATGAACTCTCTTCTAGCGAGATCATCTCTTGACAGGGGCAAACAATTTTCCTGGCCATCTGTTAGAACAAAACATTGCTCATAATATAACCCTAAAAGCTACAGAAAATAACTTTGATTTTCATTCAAGTAAATGTTGCATATAAACTCATGAAAAATTACAAAAAAATATAACAGAAAAATAATCTTATTGAATTAAAGATCTAACCTTTATAAGTCAGTTCAGTGTCAGTGGTGATGCTTTGCTCAACGGACATGCGCTTCTGTATGTGTGGATTCTGGTCAAGGATCTGGACAGTTATTTGTTTCTGCAACTGCTCATCATTTGCACCAGATTTCAGAGAAACACATATTTCAATAGAATTCATTAACAACAATACCGCTGCCTCAAAGCGATAACCATCACTGGAGTAAAACTCTGGACTAAGTACACCATAACCACGCCCCAGCTTCTCAAAGTCCCTTCTCTGCCATGTGAAGAAGGGACACTCGGTCTCTGAAACATTGATATCATCCAGTGAGAATCCTCCACTGGAGTTTCCAGCTCCTTTACGGCCTTCAAATACAACTTGGAAAGATGTATTTGCGTTCAGTTGCACGTGATGCAGCTTCCAGTAATTACCAGGGGTTTCTGCAAGAAAAGAAGCGGTCAGTGACACTGAAATAAAGACCTATATGAGTTCTGCAGGAAGAGACGGACCTGTGACCCGATCCATAAGTCTGAGAGTTCCTCTGCTGTCTGCTTCATCCTGGTACTCTCGGATCCAGATGTTGAGCTGACTTGGCGATGACTCAGACTCATCGCCGCTGTGATAGTAGTAGAACTGCAGGCACTGGACTTTGCAGTCTCTTGTAGGGGTCAGTGTCTTGCTCTCCAATCTGGCCGAGTCCCCCTGGTTTCTGCCCTCAGTGCTGAAGTGCATGAAGAAAGACGTCCCTGCAGGCATGAAGACAGGTGTGTGGTTTGGGGAACTGGGTGGACAGTGACTGTGGATGGAAGTCAAGGGGTTTTCTCACCATTCTGCTCTTTGCCCAAGTAGCTGTGGTCAGTCACATTGATGCCACTCACGGACTTCAGTCTCTGCCAGCCGTACTCAGCAGCAGAACAGACCCTCATCTGACACAGAGATTCATCATCAAAACTACAGTGGTCAAGGAAAGAGATGGAGGAATCTGCAAACAAACACTGAGACTAAATCAATGCATTACAACTTCAGCTCATCACAATAGTCCTTGGTCTCCCTGGCATCAAATATCGGTCCGGATGAAATATCCAGCAACCTTACGTCAATCCTTACGTAGAGTTTTGTAAATACTCAGGTCCCATAAATGATATTTCTAGGGGGTTGGGCGCCCCCCGAGAAAATTTCGATTTTCCTGATCTCGACATGAGCATTTTAAAGGTGCCCTAGAATGTGTTTTTTTTATTTTTTATTATTTTATGTTTCCTGGGTTGCCCTTATAATGTTAGTATGTTTCTTAGATCAAAAATAGTCATAATTTAGAAATAAAAGGCATTTTTCCTAGCCTGATTTTAGCATCTGCTTTGAACACTCTGTTTGAAGGGGCGTGTCTGCTGTGTGTAACCGGCCTCTGCTGTGATTGGCTGACATGCTTGCATATGAAATAGCTATGTATTACATGTGAAACTCTCTCGAATAATTTTACTACAGCTATTATAGGTTTTTACTATTACAGCTATCGAGATTAACGAATCGTGAGATGTTTTTTAAGTATTTAGATCTATTCCCATCACATAAAGTGTTGCTGTGATTGAGCAAGCAGAGGACAGTGAGTGTGTCGATCACGAGAATAAAGATCTTAGCATTGTAATGCAGTTTCTGCACTCTCTGATGCTTTCAATGCAGACACGATCATGTATACAGCAGGAGCTTCGTTGTGCAGAGTAACGTGCGTCAGTTTAGCAAGTGTCCAGATAAACTCGCGCTGAGTGGAAAGATTGTTCTTTGATCGTTTTCTTTCTGATTATAATTCACAATTTAAATACGAGTTTTTTTCTCATCCTACTAAAAGAAACGATGTGAAGTTGATATTTAATCACTGGCCTGACTTACTGATGCAAAAACAGTATTGAACGATTTTAAAGTGAAAGATTACCTGTCTGAACTTCAACAACAATTACACATCAGCTCGATCCGAGGCCAGCTCTTGGCAAGTTGAGGAAACAAGTCGTCGGTGAAATGTTTGGAAACATCCAGAGAAAATAAAATTAATCCATTGTTTCTTCAGAGGCTCGGATGAAGGAAGTAAAATATACTTTTGTGTTCATGTGTACATCCGAACACTGATCGACGGCCATGCTTCGACTGCGCAGCTCCGTCTCGTCTGTCACTGAACATGGGCTGGCATATGCAAATGTTAGGGGTCATACATATTAATGATCCCGACTTTTACGTCAGAGTCGGTATTATGTGGAGATTCGCCTGTTTTTCAGGGGTGTTTTCCAAAAACGAGATTTAAGTAAGAAGGAGAAAACAATGGTGTGTACTGAACTCTTGTTATTTAACTATGCCAACATAAATTCAATTTCACATTCTAGGGCACCTTTAAGGTGTTTTGATGGCTAAAAAATGGACAACAGTAGCTTTAAAAGTATGAAGTATTTGATACTACTTTTTATTTCCTAAATTAATCAATGTTTTTGAATCTGTTCATTTAATTACCGGTTCAATTACTCACCCATGAAGACAGTCACTTGTTGCTGCCTTTGGGCTTCATAATTAATGATGCAAGTTGCGTAAATACAGACAAGTGACACACATTCGAGAAAACGTTATACAAATATATTTATACAATATTAATGGCAATATATTTAATAGGGTGCTTTGAGCTTATAATTTTCACTGTCTTTGAACAAACTGATTATTTTTGTATAAATTTAAAAAAAAATGTCTTGGAGAAAATTATACTGAAGTCAACAAAAGACACAGACAGGGAAAGAGCATTGTGTGCATCGAGTGCTGGACTAAATGTACATTTAACAAATATGAAAGTAAGCGATAAACAAGGAATTACATCATCAAGCAGTAATGAGCAATTAAAACAGAATATTTCATCCTGGAAACATATTAAAATAACTTTACCACAGATGAATGTGACTTTACTGTACTTACCAGGTGGGATCTGACAACATGAGATATAAAAAACAAGACAAAGAAAAATATTTAGCCTAAAAAAAAAAACAGGTGTATATTGCTTTATAAATGACAATGTGGACAATGACTGTATCTAACTTACATCTGATGCATGACCAAGAGCCACAGCAAAGCTCAGCAGAAGAAAAGCACACACATGCATTGCCACTGGAAATCATAA